CTTCTTTCCATGCAATACAGAAGAACCCCACAAGTCATCAGTGGCATAGATCCTTTTGATGTATGTTTAGGCAAAAACAGTTGCACTTGGATATACAAGCAGCATATAAAACATATTTATGGCAGCAGAAAACACAGTGTCTAGCAGAAATTACATGTATATCAAAGAGTTTGAGAAAGATCTTTGTGATGATGAAAATGGATCCCATACGATAACTAGTAACAGTCACTTCATACTGCACATGATGAAGCTAAAGCAAAAAAAAAGTGTGTCATACACAGTGAAATTGGATATTCCACAAAAAAAGTCACCCCAAATCCAAGTCAATTTATACCAGAAGTTTAATTTTGTTACTGGCATACTACTGACTACATTACACTGTAGGATTCTATAGTGATTTCTCCAGTGTGTTGTAATGTAGGTTAACTACTTACAAATGACAAAGCAACTACAGAAGTAAAGCTCAGTGGGCTCAAAATTTCTTAGGGAAATTTCACTGTTCTGGAAACAGTGTTCAAGAATTCTCTGAATTCAGGCTCTACTCAACCACAAACATTTATCAAACAGTCTGTTAATCAACCAGAACAGTCTATGCAACATCTACTGGGCAAAACAGAGGCTGAGATCAGCAACACCTACTTCCATTCCCTTAGAAAATTCATGCTTTCTATATATTGTGTCTACACAATTCTCATTCTGTAAAAGGTATTTTCTTTCTTTTGCTTTTTCTTAGTGCATGGAGATACCTCGACACTCATTCTAGGCTTTCAAAGGCTGCTCAAACCCAGGATGTGTCATGACTTCTGTTATCATACCCAATTATTCCTCCCTTCACAAAAAGGAAATGAACACCTTCTTTAAGTCCATTCTCTGAGAAAATCTAGATACCCTGGAGGTTGGAAGTAGGTTCTGTAGGGCACACAAATATGGTAAACAATAAAATGTAAACAAAAGTATGTAAATTTAAAAACACCCACCAAGACCTGGTTGATTTCAAGTATTAGGGAGATCAGATTTTTTGTTTCTTGTCCAGAAATCTTCTGTTTTAGTCAATTTTTGCACCAATTACAGTCTTTCAAAATTCATCCTTTGTTGCATTGCTGCAGAACCACCAAATTGGTTCAAATATAATAATGACCTTGTGAGCACAGACTTGAAAAGAAATTAGCCTGCAATCATTCACTAATTTGATAGTAGTCAGTACCAATATTACCTATAACTACTGTTTAATATAAGACCAAGGGTCTGAACGAGGACCTGGGAAGCCAGTGTCCTGATATTTTGTGCATAAGCATTTGGTATTCTCTCTCTGGAAATGGTGTACAAATTGTTTTGTCTAAGACATTTTATTTAAGACTTTTTTTATTATTGTATTCTTATTTCCCTCTATTGGCATGTTGCTAATAAATTATCCTTTGGTCTACTTTTTCTTGAATAACCTCAAGATATCTCTTAAATCACACAAACACACATTCCAAGAGGAATATAATCCATTACTTATCTGTAAATGCATCTAAATATTTTCAAGAAAAATAAATTTGTTATGGAGAGAAAAATGTCGTAACACATGAAAGATCCCTTAAACATCCTTAGCCTAATTCTTTTGAGAAAGTGGTTCTCATAGCCATTTCATTTTCCTGCACACCCAAATTCTAGAGAGTCTTCCATTTAGGTAAAGTCATAACAATTTCAGTATTGACTCCCACTCAGCACCCACAACATCTGACTATGGTGATGTAACGTTTTTAAGGGCTGAAGCAAGTACTGCTGGTTCACAGAGGGGATGTAAACCCCAATGTCACTGGTTGTTCCTGTCTCCTGTGTTTAGAATAACAGCCCCCAATTAGAGTTTCTCAGAAAAAATCAAAAATTCTCACTGGAGGATGAAGTTGAAGCCTTTTGAGCCAAAGATCTCTATCTTCTGGCTCTACAACACAAAAAACTTTGCTTATTTTTACCACTTTTTTAAAATTCTGTATACATATTATCCACAGACAAGTAAGCAACATTTGTTCTTAGTCTCTAGGCGACCTTAATTAAAAAAAAAAAAAAGTAAAAAATAATAAGCACATAGGCTAAAAAAACCTTTTTGATCTACTACATTGACAAATTTTAAATACTGTGCAAATTTTTAGAAATATTTATTTAGGGAACCTGAAGCACAGATGGCAGAGCTGTCTGCAGAGACATATTTTGTTTTCCTAGTAAGATTCAAGCTGTCAACTTTTTTTTTTTTTTTTTTTTTGAAACATTGCCAAAAATGAATTGGGTGGCAAAAGCCAAACTTTCACATTCAAAAGGCATCTGTTGACTGTTGAAACAAGGGGTCTGAGAGTCAGAATCCAATTTGGCATCCCAGAGAATTCTGAAACAGGTGGAAGACAACCTGAATTCCAGCCCAACTTCCCAACCACTGCTCATAAAAGGAAGCACTTAGGAAGATAAGGGTATTAACTAGTCATTTTGTGTAAGACAAAAAGTCTGACTAGTTCTGTCTTTTTCAAAGTTCTGTAGCAGAAAATAAAGGAAGTCTTTAAGAAAAACAAAGAATGTATAGAACAATATACTTACTCATTTACATAATTCCCACCTTTCAGTTTAAAAAAAAAATCTAAAAATCTAAAATAGTCTAAAGTTCTTTCTACAGAAAGATCTACTGGTAAACCTTTTGGTCTGCACAAGTTCAAGGACTGAATTTATTTCTGCTTCCAGGAAAAATACTAACAAGTTCCAAAGAAAGGGACAACATCCTGTTTCAGATTTGCTAACACTCTTAATTAGTACCCAAGCATGAACACTGAATTCTTTTCAGCAGGACATGGTACAGATTTTCCATGATCTGGATCAGAATTCCCACCTATAATTATCAAATTAATGAGACATTTTTTTTGTCACAATTACATCATTGCAATTCTGCTGTAACTTCAATGCAAGCACAGCAAGATACTATCATTTTTATTTATCCCTGCCTAGTCTCACTTATGGAAAAGAGTGACTATGGCTAATTTTTAAATCCTGTGGCTCTTAGCTCTGCTGTGATCTACTCAGCGACATCCAAGATCTGGCTTCATTACTACTGCATTTCCTGACACCTGTTCCCCACAGCTCCAGCTAGCGCTAGTCACCTTTGAAGTCTACCAAAGTTAAAATAAGAAGTTTTCTGTCATATTTGCCTTCATGATCTCAACAGACAATAGAATCCTTGATTTGGGATTTTATTGGATTCTTTCAGATGGATGACAGAAAAATTAAAATCTGAATGTCTCTATAGTCTGTGGAGTATCTTCTCAGAACCCCACTACTTTAATTAGGTCTTTATCAGCTAGAAGTGAAACAAGGTCTGAGAGACTCCTCCATGACTGTTCTGCAAAATCTAGTAACTTCATGTGTTTCAATTCACTAAGTGACAATAAGTACTTACCCCATGCTCCCAAATAAAAGCTTCATTATTTGACTTGCTGGCATGTTTTCTTTTCTTGTGAACAAAAACCTGTCATTCTTTGTCTGTCTTTCCCATCCAGCTTCAGTTTGGATATTTTAAAAGATAATGAGTTAATGGAATCTATTGGCCAAAGTCCAATAAATCTTAGTAAAATGCAATTGCCAATTTTTCAGAAATATGTTCCAAGGAAGTGAGTGATAAATAGAGTAATAAATGTAGCTGAGTCAATGAGTGATCTGCCTGAAGAATGTTTATGCTTGGAGAAACAACAGAATGTTTACTTGTGATGAGAAACATCACTGGAGATAATCATGAATGCAGTTTTTATTAGTTACTCTATAAGAGAAATAACTTTCCAGTATTTTTCACTTCTTATTTTACTCTTCAATTATTCTCCTGTCTCCAAGTACCCTTTTAATAATATTGCTTGCAAAGCCAGCCAAAAAGCAACTCTTGGCTCCAAAGAACTCTGAAGTATTTATGAGCTGGTTTTCCTCCTATCCTTGGAGCTACTCCCAGTGGAAGCCAAATCCATAAATCTGCAACTCAACACCAGGAATGACAAGTTAATCTTATCAGTGTTGTCAAGGTCTAATCCAATGACCTTAGGCATAGGACATCTGACAGATGGTGAACCACAACAGCTAATTCTATTTCAATTTCAATGAAAACCCTTTTAGATTATTTTTTCTTACCTGTTGTTACACTGAGATATAATTCCAAAGACACTGTGAGAACTTTCAGTCCAGACTAAAATTCAAGTCCCTACAAAGCCCCTGGTAAGCATCACAGTTCAACAAAGTAGGTGGTGGGCAAGTCTTCAGAGATGCAGGGATTTGTTCCAGATAATCAGTATTCAAATGCTGAGATGCCAAAGTAATCTGGAAATGTGCTCTCTAAATACCTCAGTTCCAGACACCTTTTTGGAAATTTCTTCTATTGAGGCTAAGGACTATCTAGGAGCCATATTTAGTGTAATATATCAGTCCCTCTGCTTCGGAACAGAAACGGGAGAGAGGATGGCTAAATTCATTAAGAGAGTCAAAGAAATGCCAAGTACTTGCAAACCTTGCTGAATGTTCAAGACACTTCAATCCAATTGGCCAGTCTGGAGAAAAATTATTCATACAATTTCTATCAGAAACAAAGAAGGCAAATAAGTTACCAGTAGCATTATGAGGATGAACATTTGGTCTCTTGCACATGCTCTCAGACATACTTCTCCATATTTCATGTCAAGTATGAGGAAAACCTCAGATCAGTCGTGTGGAAGCAAAACAATACTTCCTTCTTTCCATGATGCTGTCTGGAAGGGACTATAAAATGAGTTTCATGTTTATGATGTGAAATCCTGGATGTGCTCAAATTAAAGGCCTGTCTCCTGTGGACTCTAACAGAGACAACACTTTATCTATGAAAAGCTGTGAAAGAGCTGAAGAACCTGAGAGGAGAAAGGAGCCAGTCTCTCAGCCTATGTAGCAGGTGTCTACTACATGTCCTAAATGTGTCTGTGGCTCTTTGCTGCTTATTGAAAAAAACATGGCAGTGAACTTCTTACCTCTAATATCTTCCTTGGAAAATGCTAGCTCTGTCAAGAATCAAGGTCCTGATCTTGATGAGAAGACATGGCTTGCCTGATCATAGAGCAGGGGAGAATCCATCCATAGCAGCTGCATTACATGAAAGAAAAAATGCAATTACTTGGTAATCATGTCTTTTTGCATATATATCAAGAATAGCTCTGGATGCCTGTGACTAAGAATACTGTTAAAGCCAAGTACAGAGACTGCCTTGTTCTCTTGTCTATTGCAAAGTGAATTTTCTTCTCTGATGCCTCCCTAGATCCCATTAATGATTCAGCATACACAATCTAGTTTTGAGTTATTTCAGTAAAAACTGTAATTGAATTTAAAAGCACAGTACTTTCTTATCTTTAAATAACAGAATCAGAGAATGGTTTGGGTTGAAAGGACCTTTACAGATCATCTAGCCAGCTCCCCTACTATGGGCATAATTATGGATACAGTCTTTCCATTTTCCATTTTATTTGTTTTTTAAATATATTACTGTATATATTCTTGAAAATAAACAACTGCAAATTCAATTGCAAATTCTAAGGCGGGGGCATAAACTTAAGACACTAGTCACCGTGGAAAAATTAAATGTTCCAGCAAAGTATGTCACTTGCCCAGAATATTTGCAGAATTATTCAGGAAAACAGAGAAAAGTTTCATTTATTTTCATGTCTTGATACATGATTGTGTAACAATATCTGGTTTGTAGACTGTTATTTATAGAAGTGTAGGTATAAGTAACTTAGATGTATTACAGAAGACATCTAACAAAAGAGCAATAGACTTAAAATGTATCTGTTTATCCTATTCTAGTCACATGGACTTAATAAGAAAATTTTGAAGTACGTTGAAATCCCCCAGAGTTCTCAATTCATTGACCTTAGCATTGTAACTTGCCTAGAGTGCATTTGTATATCCAGGAGAGAAATCACTGAGGATAGAAGACTACTTCTTCCCACCACAGAACATCTGTGCCTATGCTAGATTTAAAGGGAAGGAATTAATTTTGGTATTTCCAGCATCAGCAAGCAATTGCCATCTAAATATTGTTTCCTCTTATCACAGCTTCTCATATCTAACTATGTGAGGAAAAAACATGGATTAATTTCCTCTGAGCTGCAAGACATGCTATACATTCAGGAAAACAGGAGCAATAAGTTCAGCAGAAACAGTGGTATGTAGAATAGAACTGAAATAAAAAGTGTTTCCAAAAAAGGCTTGATGTATTCATCTGTCCTGCCAAAAAGTTCCTGTATGATCCAAAGATCAATGAGTGTTAAAAGCCCCTTTCTGGGCTAGGTTGCTGAGATGTTATGTTTAGCCAGTGCCAACTTAAACTTCTGAAGTTATTCTGCAACCTAATGACAAAAGATATAATTGCACATAATTTTAGCATCTTTTTTTTTTTTTTTTCCCATACAAAGGAACAGAAATTCAGTTGTGAATAAACAACTCTATCAGGCATCTTCATTAATGAAAAAGTCATGATATGGGCAGCCAGAATCTTCCAAATTCAAGTGCATGAGGTGTTCTACCTACATCTTATTCCTTCACAATAATATACTGTGTGGGGTGTGACAGAAAGACTGTATATCTGTGTCTTGTTGAAATGCTAAGGAGTCACCAAAAAATCATTTTTGCTTAATACTAGGCAATAAGTTTAGTATCAGATTTGGAAAAATAATCTTATCCCTAAATTTAGCCCATCTGTCTCTGCTTTTCTGCAACACTTCAGCTTCTCCAGTTGAGCCAAGCCATCTCTAGTTCTGAATGAGTAGATAAGCAGCTGTCACATTTCCTTCTGCCATTCACAAGAAACAGGTGCATCCAGAACTGAAGCAGAATTTAAGTGCCAGATTTTATCTTCCCTCCGGGTACACATTCATTGTAGTAAAAGTGCCACACACTGTTACTGACTGTGTTTATTACAGTAATGTCTTGACACATCAAGAGGAGCCCTTCACTGGGCTAAGCCAAACTTCCCATTTGCTACTTGTGAGTCAGAATTTTATCAACCCTACTTTTATTATGATCCCTTGATGCTGCACTATTAACAGGAGTTAACAAGTAATGGAAAACTATTATGACCATTAAAGTATGCAGAGGAATTGTAGCCAACTCATGCTTATGCATATTCCAGAAACCTGAATACACATTTTTTCCAGTTCACAAACACTTGAGAAAGGAATTTTGGCCCTGGCATTCTTGGGAAAAATCAAATGCCTGAAGGACACTTAGTTCCAGCTATGGTGAAGTTTTTTCTTGGTTTCAAAAGGCAAACCAGGCAAAGATATTGAAAGATGCAATTTTAGAAGAAAAAAAAGAAACCACATTTTATTAATGTTTTGAAAAACACACATTTCGGGTTACTTATTTTCAGCCTAATACTGAAGCCATTTTTCTAAACTTGCCCAGGAAAACTTATTGAAGTCAATAGAAGTTTTGCTCAGTGAGGACTGCAGGATTTGTTTCTAAGAGCCATTAAAATAATGTGTTTATTACTGAAGCAGTAGCAAAATAAACAGTCACTATGAATCATCAAAAATAACAGTTTCCTTTAAAGACTAGAAATTCAGGCAGATAATTCCATCAGATCTGTGTGGACTTGGACAGAGTGGTCTTTGGCAGACATTTGGATAACCTACAAGAAAAAGAAGAGGGAAAGAATGAACTTCTCGTTTGAGGTAAGACCAGTGCTGTAACTCTAAGTGTGAGGGGATATTAAGGACAGAGGGAAGTTTCTGCCAGGATGCAGACAGCGTGGATTTCTGGAAGGAAATATGTTTTCACCAAAAGAAAAGGGAAAAAATAAACAAGGTGGAAAAAGAAGCCAACACTTTCCACTGAAAGAAAGAAAAATTATTAAAGGGAGAGAAGAGGAAAAGAAGAGCTGCTTTGCAGACTCGTCACTTCCTATTGCCTTTTTTGTTTGATAGACTCAAAATCATGGATTTACTTTTTACTTCTGTATTTAAAGGTTATACTAATTTGCTCTTCTTTATTCATGTGCTTCCTTTTAAATTCTGCTTGCTTTCATGGTTTTATTGCCTTTCCTCCCATTAAAAGACCATGTATGGACACGGATTTTGTATAGAAGAGATGTTAAAATATTTCTTTTACAGCCCTCTCAAGAGACTCAAGAGATAAAGGTGAGTGTTAGAAGAAAACCATATTCTAGCAAATGGTTTACTTTGTCTGATATTTAGTGTCTGATATCTGGCAGTTTAAAGATGCATTTGAGGAAAGCACTGAAACTCCAATTCTTTGACAGCATACCCAAAGGAAAATGCATTTTCTAATATTTGTTTATTTACCAAAGTTGTTCTTTCCTCTGATTTATTCCTTACACTGGCATATGTTAATTTGTCCTCTTTATTTGCTGAGTCCCTGATTTATGACTGGGGTTGCTAGACTTCATCACTGTACAGTACAGATAGTCAGGCAATAATTTACTTTGTTTCTTGTGTCTCCTACATGCCTTGTTTAGGAAAGCATCAAAATTCTGGCCCACACATGTTCTATTGTAAACAGGCAAAGTTCAAAAACATTCCTTTGCCAATGCCATTTAAAATAAATATATAAATATAAAAACACTGGAATAAATGTAACTTATAGAAGTCAAATCAGCTACCAAAGTTTAAAAAGCAAATACACAAAGTATGTTTGTTTTCATAGACTCGGCACTTGAGACTTGTAGACTCATGGAATATTCTGAGTTGGAAGGGACCCACAACGATCATCAAGTCCAACCCTTGAACTCTCCTGTTATTTTTTAAATATTATTAAAAGCACCACAGGTTTCTTCCATAACCTTACATGCAATCTCTAAGAGTAATCACATTTCAAATTATAAATTCAGCAAATGTATCTGCATTATATTTTCATTAATAAATATACATCAAGTTTCATATGCAGAGGATATCAACTTGTTTTCAATCACTGATATGCAAATAAGAGATCTGACATATTCCCAGGCGATTTAATCTGGGCAAGTATTTCTAGAGTTAAGAAAAGTGCATAAGCCAGAATACCGAACTCAAAGCCTCTCTGCTTGAGGACCTATCTGGCCTTTAAGTAGTACATTAATAGGGTGCATTGAAGGTGCATTAATAGGGTTACTCATTGAAGCAACCCTGAGATAGAAGGTATATCAAAATATGGAATATTAGATTTCAGACATTCTTAGTACTGTCAAAGTAGTCAGCTTAGGTTACGTAGTCCTTCACTGACAAATTATTGTAATAATTCCAGTGTGTTTTTAAGATATACAGTGTGTTTCTTTGGAAGCCCCACTCTCAGCAATACATTATTTTTGGAATTTTTCCTACCTGAAGTACAATATCAGTGAGAGGGGAACACAGAAAACAAGTTCTTGTATTTAGAAAAGCACCAGGCCTAAACCCAGAGTACCAGTGTAACTACACAAGATTTGTGGCAACTGTGCTTATTTTGGGGATATGGCTTCAAACCAGTCTGTGTGCATGTATCAAAGTGCTACACAGCTGACCTTGTGCATTATCTTACAGACACTTACGAAGCTCAGCTTTGAAACAAAAATTCATGTGCTAGAATGAATTCTTATTTTCCAGTAGAGGCAGATTTCAGTGATGCATACTGTAGCTGGTTCAGAAAGGGGATATAGGTCATTGAGACAGACACTGACTATGGCAGCTTCCTAAAAGAAACTCTCAGGGCATTATATCCTATCTAGAATTCCCTACAATATATCCACATCAAGAAAAACAGTGTAATTTCAGGGTGGTGAATGGGTTTTCTGTCCTTACAACAACTTTCTTTTTAATAACTATTTTATCATCAGTGAGAAGCATTCTCAAGCCAAATGTGGTCCTGTTTTTGAGCAAATAGAAATATTTGTTTCTTAGATGCAGGATGTAAATCAGACCTTCCTCACACAAGAAGATCCAATTGTTCTGTGACTGCAACATTCTTCTGACACGAAAGTGTTCTGTCCTTGCATCAAATTGGGCAAACAAGGACTCCACTTCTATTTTCCACTTCCTAGTATTGTCTATTGACTTATTGACTGTTCCAAGTAAGACATGTCACTCCTTGGAGCACTTACACTCCTTCACTGA